CAAAAAATGAAAAAATTTGTCAAAAAATAAATCTTCCTTAAAGTGATGGGGATCGATAGCAATTGAAGCAAGCTGCTCAAAACTGTCGGTCTTTTAGCTGTACGCCATGATTTGAATAAACTACGACTGAAAAACCACTAAAAAATGAGTATTTTTGACCAAAATCTGAATCCCAAAAAAAACCGAGCTACCCCCTTACAAAAAATGAAAAAATTGGCAAAAAATTAATTCTCCTTAAAAGTGATGGGGATCGATAGCAATTGAAGCAAGCTGCTCAAAACTGTCGGTCTTTTAGCTGTACGCCTTGATTTGAATAAACTACGACTGAAAAACCACTAAAAAATGAGTATTTTTGACCAAAATCTGAATCCCAAAAAAAACCGAGCTACCCCCTTACAAAAAATGAAAAAATTTGTCAAAAAATAAATCTTCCTTAAAAAGATGGGGATCGATAGCAATTGAAGCAAGCTGCTCAAAACTGTCGGTCTTTTAGCTGTACGTCTTGATTTGAATAAACTACGACTGAAAAACCACTAAAAAATGAGTACTTTTGACCAAAATCTGAATCCCAAAAAAAACCGAGCTACCCCCTTACAAAAAATGAAAAAATTTGTCAAAAAATAAATCTTCCTTAAAAAGATGGGGATCGATAGCAATTGAAGCAAGCTGCTCAAAACTGTCGGTCTTTTAGCTGTACGTCTTGATTTGAATAAACTACGACTGAAAAACCACTAAAAAATGAGTATTTTTGACCAAAATCTGAATCCCAAAAAAAACCGAGCTACCCCCTTACAAAAAATGAAAAAATTGGCAAAAAATTAATTCTCCTTAAAAGTGAGGGGGATCGATAGCAATTGAAGCAAGCTGCTCAAAACTGTCGGTCTTTTAGCTGTACGCCTTGATTTCAATAAACTACGACTGAAAAACCACTAAAAAATGAGTATTTTTGAGCAAAATCAGAATCCGAAAAAAAACCGAGCTACCCCCTTACAAAAAATGAAAAAAATTGTCAAAAAATAAATCTTCCTTAAAGTGATGGGGATCGATAGCAATTGAAGCAAGCTGCTCAAAACTGTCGGTCTTTTAGCTGTACGCCTTGATTTCAATAAACTACGACTGAAAAACCACTAAAAAATGAGTATTTTTGACCAAAATCTGAATCCCAAAAAAAACCGAGCTACCCCTTACAAAAAATGAAAAAATTTGTCAAAAAATAAATCTTCCTTAAAGTGATGGGGATCGATAGCAATTGAAGCAAGCTGCTCAAAACTGTCGGTCTTTTAGCTGTACGCCTTGATTTCAATAAACTACGACTGAAAAACCACTAAAAAATGAGTATTTTTGACCAAAATCAGAATCCGAAAAAAAACCGAGCTACCCCTTACAAAAAATGAAAAAATTTGTCAAAAAATAAATCTTCCTTAAAGTGATGGGGATCGATAGCCATTGAAGCAAGCTGCTCAAAACTGTCGGTCTTTTAGCTGTACGCCTTGATTTCAATAAACTACGACTGAAAAACCACTAAAAAATGAGTATTTTTGACCAAAATCTGAATCCCAAAAAAAACCGAGCTACCCCCTTACAAAAAATGAAAAAATTTGTCAAAAAATAAATCTTCCTTAAAGTGATGGGGATCGATAGCAATTGAAGCAAGCTGCTCAAAACTGTCGGTCTTTTAGCTGTACGCCTTGATTTGAATAAACTACGACTGAAAAACCACTAAAAAATGAGTATTTTTGACCAAAATCTGAATCCCAAAAAAAACCGAGCTACCCCTTACAAAAAATGAAAAAATTTGTCAAAAAATAAATCTTCCTTAAAGTGATGGGGATCGATAGCAATTGAAGCAAGCTGCTCAAAACTGTCGGTCTTTTAGCTGTACTCCTTGATTTGGCTAAACTACGACTGAGAAACCACTAAAAAAATTAGTATTTTTGAACAAAATCTGAATCCAAAAAAAAACCGAGCTACGGTCTTTCAGCTGTACGCCTTGATTTAGCTAAACAGCGATATAAAAATCTCAAAAAAAAGGACATTTTTGACCAAAATCGGAATCCCAGAAAAACGTGACGTAACCCCTACAAATAATGCGAAAATTGGTCAAGACAGTCGTTCTTGATTTAAAAACCTGATAAAAAACAGTATTTTTCACCAAAATCGCTTTGCTGTGTGTGGGTTGTAGAAATGCGAAAATCCCTCAACCATCGATAGTCGCTCGAGCTGCACGCATATTTACATGTTATCGAACGAGAACGTGAGCGCTGCCCAGTGGAGTCGGGGTTTTATTTAAACCGATATTTAACGATAGGGTAAAGGTCTATCGGCCTCGGCCAGGTATCGTCATTGCAATTGTTTTGAGGTGTTAAGACGTCAATTGATAAATTACCAATTTTACCACAACACAACTGATATTTCTGTTCAACCCCTTTGATAACAGTCTTCGAATTGAAACATTAACATTTGGCACGGCAAGTAAAAGCAGAAGGCAAAGAGTGAAAAAGAGAACAAAAAAAATGAGAGCAAACAAGTCAGGTTTTGCAAACAATACATTTACAATGTAATTTCGATACTAAATATTGTTCGAGGTGCAGAATGTAGTTTTTAATTGTATCAATTCGGTTGCCCTTAAATGCAATCGCTGGCATTAAGTACTTGTATGTATTCGGATTGTGAGAAACCAAAATAACAAGTAAATGCAAAAAAAAATTCCTTTGCTGCCGACTAGAACTGCTAAAATATATCATGTGACATTTATGGCAATTACACGTAGTGTATAAAGGGTGCAATTCGTATGTTCTGGCGTATGTAACAGGTAGAAGGAGGCTTTTCCGACCCTACAAAGTACACATATGTACATATGAGTACACACGTAGTAGGTATATTCGGTATATACAGGTTTACCCAGTTTTTTCGCCACCTGAATTCTAGGGAAATTGCATTTTTCCAGGAAATTTGACATGGGTATGGCGAATGCAGTATCCCTAATCGCCCAAACAAGGTGGCATAGTAGTACGCCCTTTAGGAGGTGGTGACAATAGGTCCCATACCTATAAACACCACCCCCTCTCGGTTTGCATAGAAAAATACTAAATGCTATGGAACGCGCAAAACCCCCCTTGAAACCTGCGCTCTAAATATTTAATTAAATTAAGTGATGGTATTTATATACCTCTAAAAGCATTCTTTTGACCAACAAATTCTAATCAGCTTGATAATCGAGATAAAGCCGATAACACAGTTGCTATCTACTTTTCCTTCATAAAATAAAATATCCTCCCAAACGAAACAGAATTCAAGTCCAATAATCTATATCAATATTCCTTTATTCATTTTAGTTTGAACGTTGAACTTGATCGGTTATCAGCATCCTGGGCAAACCATGGAAGAGCCGAAAATGGCCAAGTCACCGGAGCTGCCCACCACATCATCCGGGGCATCCTCATCCTCATCCACCTTGCCCGAGAACGTGAGCTACGACAAGATCGCCTGGACCCGGGACATCACAGAGCCCTTGGCGGAGGAGTCCTCTACCAGTCAATTGCGACCGCTCGGAACCTCGATTTCATCTGATTCGACCGCAGAGGCCAGTACATCCAACACATCGTATTCCTTTACGGGCGATTATCTTTCCGGTGGCAATATCGCCGATCTAAAGTCTGGCACTTCGTCCGCTGGCGCTGAAAGTGCATCAAAATCGAGCGAGAAGGACAAGGAAAACAAGGAGCAGAACGATGAATCGCTGTACGAGTGCAATATATGCCTGGACACGGCCAAAGATGCAGTGGTCAGCATGTGCGGACATCTGTTCTGCTGGCCATGCTTGCATCAGTGGCTCTTGACGCGACCCAATCGCAAGCTCTGCCCCGTTTGCAAGGCGGCTGTCGATAAGGACAAGGTCATACCGCTCTACGGAAGGAATAGCACACACCAGGAAGATCCTCGGTAGGTTGAGACCAGCTATATCATGTATCACATCATATAGTCCAAGTTACATATTCTAGGTTGTAAGAAAATCGAATATTTTTAAATTTACTTATGTTTTGTTTGGTTTTTTTCAGTAACAAAGTTCCACCACGCCCCGCTGGCCACCGTACAGAACCAGATCCTGCTCCCGGATTTCCAGGATTTGGATTCGGGGATGGTTTTCACATGTCGTTTGGTATTGGGGCTTTTCCCTTTGGATTCATAACATCTTCACTAAATTTCGGCGAACCTCGTCCTGCTGGTAGGTCAATCACCTCCTCACTATATACTGGATTAACCATTTTCTGTACATTTGTCTAACATTTAGCTGCTAATCGTGGTACAACGCAATACGAGGACGAGCAAACCCTTTCTAAGCTCTTTTTGTATCTGGCCTTTATGTGCATTGCATGGCTGTTTTTTACATAGCAATCTGCGAACGCATAAAGAACATTGCACCGATAACAAGAACTTGTATTGAAATGTGTACGGAAAGCGTCCGAAGTAATCATATTGCAGTATCCTCCAGTTAAAACAACAATAATCGTAAACATGTTGGGTAAAAGTCGTTGGTGTAATTAATTAAAATAAATTGACTACTTTTCGGTTGAAATTTTGATTTGAATTGAATTTGTAAGGAACAGAATTGGATGGGAATGTGAAAACCCAAACTATTTCAAAAAGTTCGCGGGTCCCTACGACTCTCAACACTCAAATCTTAAAATCATTTCTTCTGTATGTTCTCGGATCGCATTGATTTAATAAAAAAGTAGTTGTCAAAAAATGTAAAAAATATATATATACATATAATAAACTCAATAAAAAATAAAGGTGCTTATGTTTATTTATATTTATGTACAAATATGCCGCAAAGGGACACAGATAGTTGGTTAGGGAGGTTATTCTTTTTAAGTGTTAAGATGTTTAATAAATATTTAAAAGATTTTTTCTTGGTGGGAGAAGACTCAGTTATTCCGTACAACCATTAAGAAATTAAATATGAATATATAATTTACAGAACATGATGCATGATAGAATTTGTAAAAAATAATTAAGTTTATTGCTTAACATTAACTGCACAACATTCTTTTTTTTTAAATAGAAATGGCCATTGCCTTGAGAGCAAGAAAACACAAAATAAAACTGGTCGCTACTTAGAATATTTTAGCTAAGCTCGGTGTTCGCCGAAAGGGATTCCACGAACTGGATGAAACGCTGCCAGCGGGTCGCGAACTAGACGATGTCTTCAGATGAAGCTTGGGCTTGGCCGCAATACTTGTGGGACTGGGAAATCCGGAGGAAATGCCCGATGAACTGGCCGCCGATAGCGTTGACAACGAGCCCTTCGACGACAATGGCTGCAGGTAAACAGAAATAATTAGAAACCCCTATGATATATGATATATGTTCTAAGAGAAACATACCTTCAAGTAGTTGCGATCCATGGGCGTTATGACTCTCAACTCCAGAGTGGAGCCACAGGACTGTATAAGCTGGACCACCTGCTGATGCGAGTACCACTTGACATCTATGCCAGCTATTTCGACTATGAAATCTCCCTCCTTGATTCCGCCCAACTGGAAAGGGAAAAATATGGTTTACAAAGCAAATGGAAGTGAGATCCATCCACTTACATCTGCCAGCGAATTGATCTCAACGTGCGCAATGATAACCGGCGCATCGCCTCGCACATGGAAGCCAAAGTTCTCGAACTCCTCCTTATACAGATTGTATCCCCCATTGTGCTCCTCCTCATCGTTGTCCAACGAACACTTGTTATTGGTGGCGGGTACGTTGTGGTACGAAGAAGATCCCTTCTGCAAGCGCACACATCTTGGGGCTGTCCAGTGGCGTCGCGCAGAAAATATTGCTATGGGTCCAAGGCGCTTGAAGGGATCCTTAACCTTGTGCGATGTGAAATCGGGTCCCGTCAGGGATAACGTAAACTTCGAGAAAGCTGATTATATGGATGATAAATATGAATGAATAATGAAGTTCTATATATTGGAAACCCATATGTATTACCTTCAACGGTTCGCTCTAGAAGGTCGCCCTCTTCGATATTATTCGCTGATGCCTGCAATCTGAACTTATCGAACTCCTCCTGCGACTTGGAGTGCACTTCCTTCATGACCTCAGTAAGCGATGACTTGTTCTTGAAAAAGGAAGATCATTAATAAGGGGGATTTATTTAATGTCCTATTATAATAACTATTATATTTCATTTTGGAATCTTATTCTTAGAAATGTGAAATCATTTTAGATCATAACATATTGTAATATATTATATTACAGTGTATTATTTCATATCATAATATCATATCATACCATACCACATTATATTATATCATATCATATCATATCTTATCATATCATCTTATATTATATTTACCTTTAGATACCGGCACATTCTTTGCAGACGCTGAGCCTCTTCGATACTAGCCAGGGCTTCCTTCAAGTGGGCCAGTTTGTTGGCAACCGAAGTGGCGGCCTCCTCGCTAGTGCCATAAATAGATTCCACCTCTTGTGAGTTGCCAATGAAGGATTCCGCCGACAATTTGGAATGGCTCTTTTGAGAGGGCAAGTGGGATGCTTTGATCTCGTCTGTAGCATCTATGCTGCGGGCCTTGTAGAAATGTGCGAATGCTGAAAGGATCATTATAAGGATTTAGTATTTCTAAATTTATGTAAATATTATATGCTTACCCTTGTAGAGTTCCGCCTTGACCGGCACCAGACCAGCCCAACATTCAGGGAGATAGGTGTGCGTATCGTTTGCCTGGATGTTTTTGTGCATTTCATTGTACTCGTGCGATATCTGGGCAGCCTCTCCAGCTAGATCGCGAAACGACTGCGAATCGGACTATTTATATATCTAAGAATTATACTTATTATATAATATACAAGGTGATACTTACGCAACTGAATTCGGATAGACCTATCGCCTCGATTTGAAGCTGCAACTTTTCAAAGAGACATTCTCGAGCCTGGGAAAGCATTAGCGATACGAGCACATCCAGGACCTGAGGCTTCAGATCCATCGATGGAGCATTCGTAAACGTATCGTATATGTGACGGAATATCCCCGCTGCCCGCAGAAAACTATCGACAGCCAGGTCCAAACCCCGTTCCGTGGTGCGATCATGTCTAGCTCCGATTTGGGTATAGATCCCGCCCAGATTGAACAGGGTGCAGGCCTTCTCGAAGGCGATGGTGCGCTGGCACGAGGGAACTCCCGTCAATGAGTCATACCACTCGAAGTATACCCCCAAATTGCGATCGGGCGGAAAGAATCGACGTTCCACATAGTACAGTGTGTTATAGTACCGGAAAAGTAATGCCACCCCAAGGGCGTCACGTGACGGGGTTTTGGATGCCTGTATGGGAATGCGATTAGATCATATCATATCATATGTGGTGGAATTTCATGGGTATTTCCTTTTCCATACCTGTCTCGTGTCTGTCATATCTGCTATGGCATCTATGTACATTGAAGGCTCCTCACTGTAGTGCTCCAGGATGAAATCGGAAAAGGGTTCCATGAAATTTATCTCCTTGGTTTCCTTCAAGCCCAGTGGTATCATGGGCATAATTCCATTATGACTGGGAATTATAATTGCATTAAGTTAAGGTATATCAGGTTCAATTGTAGGGCTATATTGTAGAGCTGATAGCAAGAAAACCCGAATCTTACCTTTCGCTTTGATATATTTCCACTGAAGAATTCAACTCGGCCAGTTGCTCCTTCAACAATTGCAAATTTGAATTGACAAAGCTTAGTTCCAAGGCAACTGTGTCTCGCAATTTGCGGTTGGATGTGGCCTAAAATAAAGGGCATTTACTATAAGAGTTATTTAAAAGTAAGCCCTAACAGTACCCACCTTATAAAGATTTTCGGCCCCAGCTCGAAGGCGGAGTTCCTTGTTAATCTCCTTATTCAATTTGCACCGCTTGTTCTGAAGTTTGCTGCGACATGTTGCAGCTCTAGGATCTGAACCCTGAAATATGTATATTGTTTTCATATATAATATATCATATTTTATCACAATAAAACCATTTTATTAAATTATTGTTTTATGAGAAAGTGCTATCCAATGGATGAAATAACTTTTGCTAAAAAACTTATATAATAATGAGTCACTAGGAATGTGCGATTCATCCATAAACATATAATAGGTAGTATTCCAATTACGCACTTACCCGAACAAAACAAAACGATAATTCATTCAGCTTCTCATCATCCTCGTTCTCCTCATTTTTCCCTGCTCTCTGCTCCAGTTCATCGTCTTTTCCATCCATGGCTCCAAGATTAAACATTCCGAGAACCAATTGGACTCCTTAATTGCCACAGCGTGGTTGATTATACTACCAATATGTATTTAATAACATTTAATTTTGGGAACACTATATATTTCAATTATTATTCTTGGATCTATACCAGATCTTAAAAATAATATCTCTTCCAGAAATCTATAATATTATAGGTACGATAAATTGTTTTGGTCATCTGTTTAAGTATTTACTAAGGGATTTCAAGTTCATAAAGATCCATAAAACCGTTTTTGAGTTATTAATGGTGTAACCACCAAAACATTAGCTTGCCGTATACATAGATAGAACAGCATTTCTTTAGCCTTAGGAGGTAAAACACATAATTAGCTTTTAACGGAATTGATTTCGAGAACCATTAAAATAACTCCACACACATAATTTTAGAGATCTATTCATATCGACGCGATATAACCGTGATAAAATAGCCCTAGGCCCATCAAAAAGCTAAGACACACATATATTTAGATAATGATATAGAAGAACTTCAAAAGTCGCAAATTTATAGACCTATTTTGGCCATTCTACAAAAATGTCAAGATCATAAAAACCCATTCGGCCGTAAATGAGTCACAAGTGGTGCATTTATATTGTTTACAAAAAGATAAACCTAATCTATAAAAAGGTATTTCCAACAAGAATTTGTAATCGAAAAGGTATCTGGGCCATCGAAATTTTTGCTTTCGGCTAAAAGATGTTTCTGGGACACCACCGCCGGTTAAACAATGCCATATAAAAACAATAGAGATTTATTTTCATTCGATTTTCTGGCTAATTGTTGGTTTGTGAATTCTTTTTTTTGTTTGTAGCCAAACACCTGGGCAGCCCGTCCCGTCGGTCAAGTTTTCTATGTTGATTTCAGGTATTCACGATTCACCGAAGAGTGCACAAAACCCATAGCATAAACACAGTATTATTGGATCCATTTGTGGGGTGGAGGGGGAGGTTTCTTGTCACTTGTTTTTACTATAACTATTTTAGTCTGGAATTCCCTCAGTCTATGACATATTTATGGTAATCCGTTGTGTTCCACATCATCAATAGCATACTTTTAAAGTACTGTTATGGCATAATTATTATATATACATATTTACATTGTGGGGAGTATAAACTAGTGGAGTTTTAACAAACCAACAAAAAAAAAAAGAAAGAAAGAAAAACACGTTAAATCATTTCGTGGCCCACATATATTCACTGCATTTGCATACATTTAATAAACGTAATATTTTTAGCACTGGTTCGACAGCATTTCAGCTTTATATCAGATATGTTGACTTGTCTTCACTACACTTTCCACTATTACCAAAAAAAAAAGAAGCAACAGGTTGCTGTTACCTTTGGACAACTACAGCGCCAGGTACGAGTTTCCGAATCACCGTAAAGTCTAAAACTGGTTATTTACTCGGGCCCAGTGTGACCGCCACCTGGCCGTTATAATATACCATCTATAACGTTACCAAAATGTTAACAAACCTTATAACGCCTTTTTTTTTAGGAAGGTTTACTAACTATGGAAGTACCTTAATTGCGTTTAAAAACGTTTGTTCTAATAAGTCTAGTTAGAAATAACTGTTTTATATATTAAAGATATATATTTCTTATATATATACTTCCCTGTCATATGATATATGGACATTTAAATCTTAAAAGTAAAAAATAAAATAAAAATTACAAGGGGATTGTTTTATCTTATTCACCAGAACTAACTTTTTAGATACTCTTTACGCGATCAGGAAAAAAGTACTTTGAATTACACAACGTATTTGGTATTTTATTTTATTTAAAACTTAAAGTTAAACAAAAAATAATGTAATTTAAGTCAAAAAGTAGTTGTTTGTTGGTGATATAGGTATTGAAGAAAAAATGTTAATGAAATTAAAAATGCCCTCTTGTAATTTTAAAAACAAAACATACATAAAAAAGTAAAGCTAACAACGTTTTAAAAATATACGTAATCACCAATGTTTATAAATGGGCTGTACTGTTTCACACTCCATCGTTTTGTTTGATCCGCCGAATTCCGAATTAAAAATGCAGCGATTTATAACAAGTTTAACTTTCGAAATGTTAATTTCTATTTATTTATTCAAGGGTAGTACGTCTTTTTGAATCTGTTTTGATTTTTTCGGACGCCTGGTCTCAGTGCCCGTGGCACGTACTCCTTGTCATGTTGATCGAGCGGTCGCTGCCAAGGATTAACGTCCAGCTCAAAGAACCGTCGCTTCGCCTCCATAGCGCGATTCTTGTTGTCGATCTTGTACAACTTCTCCCACAGGTAGATTTCAGGTAGCTCCAAGTGTCGCGGTCGGTTTGACGCCAGATGTTTGAAGGTTTTGGTTATAAAGTCACGTTGCTCGACGTTCTCATAGGCGGTTATGTCGGACGCCACATATGGCTGTTGCTCCCCAATACTGCGCTGAATGGATGGAACGTTGGCATAGAAGTTTAGCAGATGACGCAGGGTGGTGTCGTTGAAATCCACGCATTTTCCACTCGACGAAATCTCTGCGTACAGTGGCAGGGGCTTCGTTCCGCGACAGAAGTTTACACGAGGATTTTCCTCCTGGTGGTTGCCATGCAGCAGCAGGGTGTTCAATTGATACTCGTAGAAGCTCCATTCCCTGCCGTTTGTGATCACAGTTTGAGTGTTCATGGGATAGGTCAGTTCGTTGTAGGTGTTGAAGCCATTGTAGTTCGCCTGGGCCAACAGCCAAGCGTATGACGATTTAATCGCCAGAGCATGAAGGGCCTCCTGTAGATCTTGCTCGCCATACGATTTCGGTCTTAGCTGAAGGTGAGCGCGCGATTGGAACGAGAGCAGTCCAAAGTTGTGCTCGTTTCCTTTGGGCCAATAGCCTGGCACATTGGTAGCATGCTGGTGCTTGGTGCTATAGCCAAGGGTGCGCGGGTCGTGCTTGAAGCGGGGCAGTTGTTTGCTCAGGCTGAGGTCTTCGCTTTCCGCTGGCGTTTTCCAGGGCGACAATTGCTTTCGATGGCGCAGAGACAGGTAAGGCGTTCCGGTATACTGAACCAGACGGTCAATGCTCTCGTTGGCATCATCCTTTTGCCACTCGCGGCCTTTCTTCGAGTTCTGCACGTTCTTAGGCGGATCTACGCCACCGACTGCCCAGAAGGCCTCGTGTCGTGGATTGTAGTCAACCTCGACCTCCTCCAGGTGTTTGTACTCCTCGCCAAGAGCCTGCAGCAGGGTCCTGTTCAGCTGTTCGACAATGATCTGCGTAAGGATGCGTTCACGCTCAACGTCGCTGGGTTGCGCAGAGTTGGGCAGCTTCTCCAGGTGCCTGCGCTTGGTAATGAAATGGATTTATTGTATATCAGACTGCTGGAAGTTCTACTTAAGCCCAAGCCGAGTTCTCAACTGAGTTTGGAATTTTAAATCAAAAGAAACTACAGAAATCTATACAAATGCCAAAGTAATCCGGTGTCCCACGGAAAGGGAGCTTTAGAAAGATTACTGGGAGTATATAGCTGTACTCCCAACTTGTAGTTGAGATGGCTAAGCAGGAATTCAGATGAGAACTCGGTTTGTTTCAATGGGCCCTAACTTTACCCACTTGTAGTAGTCGTGGGCAAACTCGAGGGCTTCGATGACATCCTCGCGGGTCGCCTTGACGAGGGCGTCCTCGATGCTGGTGTTTTTGTCGCCTTGGTCAGCAACCTCCGGCGATGTAGATGCGGATGCAGGTGGAGATGACAGTTCCAGATCCTCGACAACCGTGCGCGTATAGTGTTGCGTGAGCGGCAGTGCGTTGTAGGGGATCTTGGAGTCGTTGAAGTCGACCACTTTGTAGCCGTAGTAGCGGGGCATGTTGATCTTGATCATCTTCTCCTCCACCGTGGGCACCTGGCGGATTTCCTCATGCCAGTCGGCAGCATCCTTTTGCTTTCGAGCCTTAAAGGACGGATCCCGAATCTCTGGATACGCCGGTTCCGCCTCCGTCGGATTCAGCTGCACCTGGAGCGACTGTCCGGCCAAACAGCGCTTGTACGTCGTTCGCAACTGGTTCACGAGGTTTAGCTTCAACATATCGCCAACCCAAACGCAAGTTGCGATTTATGTTTTCGAAGAAATTCAATTTACTCCGGACAATAAACGGAGAGAGGTTATGTCATTGCCATCGAGAGCAGTATGACCGTGCACGAGCTTAATTTCAAATAGTCTTGCGTCAAGGTAGCGCCGTTGCGTAAGCAGCGAACGTGAAACGGTGGAGCTTGAAATTTAGGGGGTTTTTGATTTAAAATACCATAAAATATATGAAAATATTTTTGAAATTGTTCTAAAAAACATTCCCCTGGTTCTAATGAATTATTGGACTAATTCCTTAATTCAATATGTATAAATTGTTTTTCCACAAGCGATTAAAAAAAGTGTTCCCTAGCCACCGTTCCACTGCCAAGGCAAAACTCTTCTAGTACTTTCCGCCCCAAGAATATGGCATATTTGAACGGTCTTGCTGCGGTCACATTTGCAAAAATATGCAAAAAAAAGTCAATTATTCGCTATAAAACGAGTTATTGAAGTAAACAACATTGAGGAATTGTTTATGCGAACGGATATTGATTGATAACTATTGTCCCTGTAAACTGGAGAGATAGGCAGCCATAAGTATCCACCACGACGAAGCCGAAGCCGATGCACCATTCATGCGCATGTTGAATCTGAGTCTGATCTGAAACCAAAATCGGAATCTCAATCAGAAGCTGAACTGAATCGGAAACATAACCGTGTCCACCTCCGCCAAGATGAATCCCTGTGTGCTGCCCACACCATTGCCCGACTTGGATGGCGACAAGCGTTGGCACAGCATACACCGCCGCTTTATCTCCGATTGCCGGGAAAAGGATCCGGATGTCATCTTCCTCGGCGACTGCATCTTCGAGACCGTGCAGGATAGCGAGGCGTGGAACCAGTACTTTGCACCGCTGCACTGCCTTAACTTCAGCATTCGCGACGATTGCACCGAACACGTCCTGTGGCGCATCGAGAACGGAGCCCTGGACAATGTGAATCCCAAGATAGTGGTCCTGCATGTCGGCACGAATAATGTGAAGAACACTGCCGAGGAGGTGGCCGAAGGAGTGCTGGCCAATGTGACGAAGATTCGTCAAAAGCTGCCCCACGCCTACATCCTTCTTCCTGTAAGTTATACTGTCATTCAGCCTTTATCCCAACAGATCTTTATCATTATTTGCCTTCACAGTCACTACTGCCGCGCGGACAACAGCCGAATATGCTGCGCGAAAAGAACTCCACCATCAATGAGCTGATCAATGGACTCACCAAGGGTTTGTACCGCGTCCAGACCGTGGCCATTGACAAGGGATTGGTCCAAAGCGACGGCAGCATAAGCCATCACGACATGTTCGACTACAAGAACCTCACCAATGCTGGAGCGAAAAAGATTCTTGAGCCACTATACGATTTGCTTTCTCAAATTCTCAACGAAAACGAACCTGAAAACGATCTCACTCCCTCCGAGTAAAGGAACCTCCAGCAGCTTTCATTATCTATATATATATATAAACCACAAAACAATTCCCAGAATATAATTTAAAACAAATGTATTTTTTGAAATCTCAAAAGCCATAGAGCTGCGAGATTATCTCACAATTAAATATAAGTTTTCTTATCGAATAGTAAACAATCGCATATACCATTGCAAAATAACACTATTTTACATAAATATTTATAAGGCAAAAAGAATGTAATTGGGTAAAATACAAGTTATCTTCAAGCATCAGAGTAACATCGTTTAATCGGTAAAAATATTTTTTTTTTTATATTAATGAGACATTTGCTGCAGCCAAAATAGTTTTAAAAAAGCTAAAGACAAGAAGTGAAAATGTAAAATATTACCGAACCGAAAGAAATAAATTCCAGCAGAATATTAACTAAAATGTTAAATTGAATAGCAAGTGAAGAATTGAGGAAAAGGGTAGGCTCTGGGACTAATATATCTGAATTGTACGTTTTTTTAGAGCACAGAAATTAGAGTACACACAAAGCTACAAAATATTACTAACGAGAAAAGGTTCGAGAAAGGGTTTAATTAGATAAAAGACACAATGCTGCGCATTCCTGGAATGCCCCTTCTTCCGGGCACGCTGTTCCGCGATGTAAGTACTCTGTGGTGTATATCTAATAAACCGTCTATAAGAATATCTGGGTAATAGGTATCCAAAGGTCACTATCCAAAACCGCAATCGCTGTCCAACTTCCAAGGACTCAGCATGCTGAGTGATCGCCAGCAGCCTCCTCCTGTGGAATCGGGCAGCGTTACGGTGGACATAAGTTGTCCGCCAGTCGGGGCTTCCTCCATATATCCACCAAGATCGGGACCCCGAATGCCGCCCTGGTTGGCATACGATAAGAAGGTGCTGTGCTTTAGTGCCTACTTTAAGCAAACCCTGCAGGAGGTGTACCATGCCCCCTACTTGGTGCGCAAGGTCAAGATATACTACTATCTCGAGGACGGTACTTTGGAGATATACGAACCGCGGGTGGACAACTCGGGCATTGTCCAGGGATGTGTGGTTCATCGCCAGCGCGTCCCAAAGGCCCCACCTTGCGATAACGAGTTTATGTCCTTAATTGATCTAAACGTTGATCAGACAGTTCAAATATTCGATCGTCAGTATCATATTACCAAGTGTGATCAGTTCACTCGGGATTTTCTTAACAAACGTGGAATAACGGTTCCCGATCCTGTAAAATCGCCATGGTAAGACTATTTTTAGTGGTATATAACCCTTAGTAATGACTTTACTTTAACAGCGATCCTACCGAGACGATGAGAAAGCGTGAGAACCAACCCAAATCTGGCAATTTAATACCCAAGAACCACCCGTTTGCCCAGTTCCTTAAGTACGATCGGCAAATACTAAAGTTTCAGGCCTACTGGGATGATCGAACTGAGTTCGGCGATGTGCGAAAGTTGGAAGTGTGTTATTATCTATCCGACGATACCATAGAAATCAAGGAACAACATATCCGGAACTCAGGTCGCGACGGACCGACAGTGTTCCTTAAACGTGGACGCTTAGCTAGAGTGAGTAATGATAAGGATTTTAGTTTTAGGATCATTTTTCTATCTTTAAAAAAGACTCCCAAATCGAAAAAAAAGAAAAGAGCGAGATAGCACCTAGAATTATTCTGGGTAGGAGGGGGACAGCCATATTCAGTATTGATACTCCCTATATGTAAATGGAATTATCATATCTTATACATTTTTTCTCTGATTATTATTAACGTTATATATTATATGCTTTCCTAGGAATTTGAAGGCCTAGTGCTGCCAGGTCAGATGACTCCAATGACGCTACTGAATGTACTGGGAACAAACATGCGCAACGTACGCTACTGCGTGGATCCACTGAACACGGGCAACAAGGAGATCCTTTACTATAAGGAACGTGATCTTCAGATCGGCAGCGTGATCAATGTATATGGTCGAGCGGTGATAATCACCGAGCTGGATCCCTTCACCCAGAACTATTACCGCCAACGTTATGGGATTCAGGACTTCACCCCACTGCCGATTCCGACCAGATCGGATGATTGTGCGGATCATAGGGCGGGGGAACGCCAACTGCCGCCCTATAACGGTTGGGGCAGCTATGAGGATTCGGTGGGAAACTGCATTTCGGTGGAGCCCAAGCCGCCCAGAACGGACTTCAAGAAGTTCATCAAATACGATCGTTACGTTCTGCGTTATGGGGCCAAAATGCTCTCGACCATAAAGGCGAATTGCGAGCGAATTTTCGTGATAAGCTATTATCTCAGCGATGATACGCTGCAAATTCAGGAGATAGCAGTACGCAATTCCGGTTTCCTGGGCGGGGAGTTCATGAAGCGAACCCGCCTGGAGTTACCGGGTCAGGAGAAGTTCTCGTGCAAGCAGCCGCAGTACTATATGCCCTTCAACTTCTTCATCGGATCCACCATGTCGCTGAAGGACTTCATCTTCCACATCGTCTCCGCCGATGAGTACACCCTCATGTATATGGAACACCATCCGGAGACCTTTAGTCAGTCGAATGTGGTATTAATCATGGAAAAGGTTCGCAATTCTCTGCAGAATCGCATGGCCGAATTTGTGGGATCCTGTGTCCCGGATTGTACAGATTTGGAGAAGAAACGGGATGTCTTTGTGTCCTTCGAGAGCTTCAAGGGAGCGTTGATTGGTATAATTGGTAATATGATCAGTGATCACGAGATCATCACTCTGTGTAGGCATTTTTCGGCGGAGAAGAGTCAACCGCATGCCTGCGATAGGTCGACTGTACGGGCAGCGGCCCATCTGGAACTCAAGAGATCCCTGTGGAATGCGCGAGATGATCTTATGGAGCACTTCCATCACATCAATCCCACCAATCAACCCTTCCTACCAGAATCCAAAGTGCGATCGGCCCTTCGCGGATGTCGTCTTCCCTTCTCTTTGGAACTCATCGACAACATCCTATCCATACTGAATCGCAACGAGTGCGATTATATCGAGGTGTGCGACCTGATGAACTTCATCGACGTATCCTGTGGCAAGGGATGCGACATGGTGCCCGTCAATCACGCCTTCGAACTGTGCCCCAAGATCCCGTTCCTGAACAAGGGTCGTGTGGTAAACTTCACCTGTTTCCTGCGGGAACTGAGTCTGCCCCTCAATTTGCCCACGGGAGGCGAGAAGAACAACGATACGATTGGCGAAGCCAGGATACTGCCTCCGTCGGTGATGTCGGAAGCCGAGTTCCATAAGCACGAGGAGGACTCCCCTCACTAATAGTCTAAGAAATATCTATAGCTATCTATAACTAACGTTACACATTGTTTGTTCCAAATTTTTGGTTGTAATTCCTTCATTCAGATTCTAAATATATTTAAAATTGCACTTGATTTATCAGTAGTACTCGTAACTCTGGAATATTATGAGATAATAAAACGTTAAAATATTTATTTTTAAGATAAAGAGCTTAACAATTAATCAATTTTCCCATCAGGAACTTTAGTCAAAATTGGTTCTAAAACCAAAAAAATTGTTGACTAGCACCGAACATTTTCTTATAGTAAACAATTTTAAAAATGTCTTCCATGCTGTGCGAATTTAAATGTTTAATAAAGGCTTTTTAAGGGTTTACCTTACTATGATACCTATTAATATTTTTTGTTTTAACCGAAATTATTCAACATCATTTTAGATTTCTGTAGATTGTGTTTATATAATGCATATTTTCTGATATATCTAATAACACAGCTGACTAATTCCGGTTGGATGGGCAGTTCAAGACTTCATCTCGATCCTGGCAAATGAGCAGTTCCCGATTGAACCACTGATTTCTGGGGCAATTGTGGCGCCTGGGGCGGTTCTTACGACACTTATAGTAACGTCGGCAATGTTGGGGGTCTGTCAAGTACACTCCATCGCTTATATCACGGCAATCGCGTGAAGATCTTAATACATCGATACGGATTTTCGCTTCTAGAACAACTGGAACTGAATCGTTGGATTCTTTTGCAGATTCTGGAGATTTAGTTGTTACTGATATCATTTTCGGGTTTTTGGTAGTAGTGGTCGGGGGACAGATGGTTGTGGTCGCAACAGTCGTTGCTGCCACCGCCTTTGGGTTTCCATACGGATCCAATAGCTGGGACTGGTTGATTTTACCTGCCCCAAGTAGAGCCACTCCGCGCTCCCCGTTGAAACATTTGACGAGCCCGGGCAGATTGCAGGATTGGATCTTCGGATCGAAGTAGAGACCATTGGAGCACTCCCTTCGTATGGCGTTACCACGCTGACACACATAAAAGCTCGAGCAACTGGCGGGATCCGCGAAGGAAAGATCATTGAACCGATTCTCACAAATGGTATTGAGTGCTGAAACAAATGGAACCGCCGCGGATAGTAGAATCACAAGCGTTAGATGGGTTACATTGCCTGTGGATAAAAAAAGGTACAGAAAAATTTTATTAGTCCATTTTAAGTTTTAAACTTAAAAATATCTTATATTTTTAGGCAAAAATATATTATCATATATAACGACGGGTCAAATCAACCGTGATCAAATCAAAACATTGCTGTTTTTGAATTTTAAGGCATATTACGTGGAGTACAATCGACTTATGCGATTTCGGCATATCCAAATCGGACATCTATATCCTGTTTTACGAATGATCCAGTAAAAAAAAATAATCCATTCTTGCCACGGCTTATAAGGTACTTCATCTCTTCAATTCCGATTGAATTCTTAAGAACCCCTTTCTATATAAAAGAAAAACGAACGTACAAACTTTCATATTGGGGTTGGAGTCTGAGTTTCAAGAACGAGACAATTTTGCCATCGAGCGTTTTTATAGGCAACGGCGTCTTCTTATCATTTTTGGCAGACAGTTACATGGGTAACGTCGGCTTTTTGTAGGAGACACGGCTAAAACAAATAGTTTTCGCGCGTGCATCGGAACTATCGTTTATCATAAGTGAAACCATTAGGAAATTAGCAGGGAAAGTCTTTCATCAGTCTCCAAGGTTGTTGACAAAGAAATATAGTTTATACCGTTGGTTTTCATATCAAATGTTTTTTATAATCCTATAATAGCTCTAGTTTTTATCCCAAATTGGTAATATTTTTAAAATTGAAATATTTTTTAAAGAAAACAACACTTTATTTTTAGATCACAATACATTACAGAAATAAGAAGCTTTATTTGGGTTTCAAAAAACCCTCAATAAGAAAATGACTTCTTATGTATTTTCTGGGGACTTATGACAAGGAAAATGGAACTGACTGATGGCTGGGAAATTGCAAATGAATAAAAATTATGTTTGTTAAGCTCGAGAGTTTTGACAATTTGACTCATAGAGTACATATTGCTGGACAGCCAAAAACAGGCCTTCGGTAAGCTAACAGTCCTGAAATGATATAGAATGAGATTAGGAAATAGGATACATATAGTTAGGGTTCTCTCACTCACTTGATAATTGCATGGGGGAATGCTTTTTCGATAAGGAGACATAGCTGTAGGTACTTCCATCTATCTTCGTTGTCATTACACGCCGTAGAGTACTCATGGTGCTTGAAGCGTAGGGGTTCCTCTGTTTTCAATCCATACTCCTGCTCCTCCTGGGATTCCCCCGATAAGGAATCGAATTCAATGGGACCCACCAGTTCGGGAAAATGGATCCGGGTCTCAACGACATAGTACGATGTGTAGTAGTTCTGCAGGAACTCCTGGCGCTCTCCAATGGCGGCGATTCCCGGATAACTAAGGGCTGCCATTCGCAGGGCCGAATTCGAGAACTGGGTGTCGGAGCAGGTATAGATCACCGAATGGCCACGGCGGGATAACTCGTGGATTACATGGAGAACGGTGCGCTGGGCAATGACGTCCAGATGGGTAAAGGGATCGTCCAGCAGGATGAGATCAGCATCGCTCATCAGGGCAATGCCAAGGCTCAGTCTTTTAAGTATTCCCCTACTGCACACTGAAAGGGATTGAAACCGATACTTGTATAAACCGAAAATTTGGCACAATGTCCCAGCATCCTCCTGAAGGGTTTTCCTATTCGACCTCCTTATACGCAGTATCAAAAGTATAGTCTCCCATATTGTCAGCCACTGAAAAACCTGAACCTCCTGAGCACTATAACCAATTAGATTGCACCCTTCCAAGTTTTCCGACTTCAACGGCACTTTTTTCGAGGTTATTATACGTCCTGAGCTGGGTGAGTAAATTCCGAGAATGGTTTTCAGCAGAACCGTTTTTCCAGATCCATTGGGCCCGAATATGCTCAACACCTGATAGCTGATGTGGACTATTTAGTAACATATAGAGGTTAAAACAAAAGAACCAACGCTTACCGATTAACCATAAAATCAATATGCTTTATAGCCGCCTTGAGGTTAAAGAACACGCTCAAATGCTCTACATGCAGAACTTTGGACTCTATATAATTCCGTTCTAGAGTTCCAACACGTATCTTTTCTGATATCCAGGTATTTTCGAGATCATTCGGGTGAGAAATGTGCAAAACATTCTGATCGTATTGGCTATCTGGACTGTGGGAATATAGCGCTTATTATATATATTATATTATCAAGAAACCATTTCAAAAACTTACTCGCTATCCCAAAAGTATTTTCCTTGTCGAGGTCTGCGTTTTACCACTCGCGACTTGAGGCATATATAAATCCAGATCCAAACCACCACGGTCAATATGTATACGCAGGCTAGGTATCGAAAAAGGGGGAACTGCCGGGCATTGGGATCTAAACAGAATAGAGAAGGTATCCATTTAAGAATAGTTTATAAGTTGGAAATACACAGATAAGATAAGTGTAAGAGTAAGTTCTATGTTATATTATATCATATTACATTATATTATATATTACTATATATTATATTATATTATATTATATTATATTATATTATTTTATATTATATTATATTATATTATATTATATTATATTATATTATATTATATTATATTATATTATATTATATTATAATAATATTATATTGAATAAAAAAGGAATATATTAAAATGACTATCATTTCTTATCGAATATTTCTATACGTGTACGAATAAAGACATGGTTCTTAACTTATTCCGATTCTTTTTTTTAATTTTACCAGAAAGACTCACCACAACAGTTGGGGAATCTCAGGCACTGTTCCGAGTGAACACTGGTCTCGTAGATCTGCGGATCTCTGCAGAGCCATATCTTTTCCGATATACTGGTAATGCGCATTAGATTATGCAACAGGGCATAAAACGGATGGAAGTCTAGTAATACTAGGGAAATCGCATTGAGATCCACAGTGGGTTGCAGTTCGGTAAGCGCTATGTAAGTCACTATGCCAAATGAGTAGAAAGTGAGTAGCATCAGATAGCCATTCTGAGTATCCGAAATGCCAATTGATATCCAGATATTTACGCTGAGCACACAAAGAGCAATGGCCACCAAGACGTAGGTACAAAGCACTGATACATAAAATATAAAAATTGAATAGATATAAATGTAACTACTAACTACTAACACTTACAGATAATATCAGTATCCATTAGTATGTCCCACTGCATTAACAGGACGGCTAGATTCACGGGAAAAAGGGCTAGTAACACAACCATCATATCGTATATAAGAAAAGCTACTATCATTGTGCTCATCCGCATTCCAGCAATCAGTTCAACATAGTTATAGCGACCATTACGATTGAGGGTCATGTAGAGCAGGGGTAAACTCCAGAGGTAACAGAAACAGAAGCTCAGGCAGGTGGCGAATATCAGGTCAATGCCATCGGTGGTAAAATGCAATTGTAGGGTGTGGACTGTCGAGAAGGGCAGCGGTTCCAGTTCCACCTTAATACCAGAGTCAGAACCTATGAGACCACTAAATAACATAGATATATTATTATTTCATAAGATTGAATATATTATGAACTTACACTGCCAGAGAATTCATTACCAGGGCCAAACAATCGGGTGCCGTGAAATGCCACTTGTTGTTGAAGAGTATCTCAACCTCATCATCGGAGAATATGGCCGCCTCCAGAATATCCAAATCCGATAACAAGTTATTGTCATACTCATAACTATAGATGTATTTCTTGATATCAGCCTTGGGATTCACTTCGGTAACTCCTGTTCTAGCAAATTCCTCAGTGGCCGCCAGTAGATCTTTCTCGAAAAGATTTGATTGCATTAATATGATACCGCTTTCATGATCAGTAATGGGAAAAACAATCAGTTCCGGCTGTTGGCACTCGTCCCAGAAATAAGGCATGCTAAGGGTCCAGAGAACCACCAAAGTCGGCACAATGAGTATCAGAAGTGGTAAAAAACAGTTCCGTATGTCTCTAAGCATCCGTTGCCGAAGAACTTCCCAAATATTCAGGAACAAAGCGATGATATATCTCCTTCTGGGCTCTCTGTTTATGGTAAACATCTGGGATTCTGAGTCTCCGAATTGAAAACTTGATTGGTCACGTGAAAATAGGTTGTATAAAATAATATCAAGGCTGCACTCCTGAAGTTTGAAACTATTCACATTCAATTCCTCTTTATAGCGTGTCAAGTTCTCAAGCAAATCCATCAATTCAGTTTGGTTTTGGTGCTTGATTATAAAAACTGCCAAATCACCCAATGTATAGTCCAACTCAGTATCAGGTATGAAATTTACCAAAAAGATTTGCACCTCCTTGAAATCGCAATATTCATTGCCATACAGGGTCTGTAAAATAAAAATTGCGATACAGAATACAACACATTTTGGTGATCCTAACTAGGACTTACCAGTCTATAGACATCATTTAAGGTCTTGCACAGCCTTTTTTCGGTTCCGAAAGTTAGGAGCTTACCCTTCGAGAGTACGGCAATACGATCGGCAATACCACTGGCCACTTTTGGACTATTGGTAGTAAAGAAAATGGAGCGATTCTTCTTTTGCTCCTGCACAAAGCTGAAGAACAGTTCGGCCTTAACCTCATCGACACCATCGAAGGGTTTATCGAGTATTACAATCTGGGTTCGACCAACGAAAGCACACAGAGAATTTAGAACTCTCTTCTGTCCCATGGTGAGTTCCATCACCTGTGTCTTTTCCCACTTTTCAATTCTTAAATAGCGTATATATGATGTCACCTCCACTTTGGCTTCGGTTCTTTTAAGACCCCGCAATTGACAGAAAAATATCAGATGATCGAACACTGTGAACTCGGAGATCAAAGATTTGCATGACAAGGAAATGCCGGAATTTTTAAAGGCCTGCCTTTTGTGCGTAGCAACATTAAAACCAGCTAGGAAGATCTCTCCCAGGAAAGGCTTTGTCAGTCCATATACCATCTTGACAATGGTTCTTTTTCCGGATGCATTATGGCCCAATAGAGCCACTACTTCTCCATGATGCACGCTCAATGTGAAATTCTCCACCACGAACGTTTTCGAAAACTTTTTCCAAACGTTACGAAACTCAATAGAGATGTGGGATTCGATTTTCGGTTCGATGGCTTCGGGGTTTTCCGGTTTTCGTCCTCGCACCGGCCAGATATTACGATGTAATTTCAAAGTTTTGCAACACTTACACATTTTCTTAAAATGATGTCCAAGCCAAATGCATGTTTGGTTTTCCAAGATCAAGGCGAGTAGAATACAAAAAAAGGTCTGTAAATAGAAGTATGCAATGGGCACTATAAGGCCGGAATCGGAGTCCATCACTTTGTACATCAAATATTTTCTAAGAGGCACTTCCACCGGATAGGCTTCCAGGTAAATCAATTTCTTCAGACCCCGACTAAGTGATACATTGCAGATTACTGCCGTGGCAATGGCATAGAACTCATGGAACTGGTTGGACATCAGCTGCTCGTCGGACAGAA